CCTGATACTCTGTGCCTGTGTCCACCTGGTACCATCATACCAATTCAAAGCATGAATAAAACCCTGACATACACAGTAAATACTGATGTAATTTAATTTTGTCTGATATATTTTGTCATTTTGCACACAGAACAATGAATTTCTGAGCTTTATGTCAAACCACTTTAGTTTTTATTGTTTTATTTATATTTATTCTTGTGACCCCTACAATCCTTGATTTTGGTATGTGCTTCTTTATTGTTTTCTTTATCTTAACCCTCTCAGACTTAAAATAACTTTTGATAAAAGGACAAACAACTAAGTCCTTCAGGGGTACTTCTGAGTAAAAAAATGCTCATGAAATACGTATGTGGAGTAACCAGGTAGGCAGGTTTTAACGTTGCAAATCTGCGCCTGCCTCCAGAGGGTTAAATACAACCACTGTCTTTGACATTATTGTAAATAAGAACACCAGGTGAAGTTTTACTTAAAGTAAAATGGTTGCATCGTAATAGTTAGCTTTTTAAATCGCTCCTGCCTGCACTATAACAAACACATGTTGCATCCCTTCTGCTAAAGCAATGATGATTTAAAAAAGAAGTTCTGCACATGAAAACTTTTGCAAAAGGATGCAAAAACTTGTAAAGTTTTCAATATTCATAAAGTTTTTAAAGTTTGCATGGTCGTGTTTGTTAGCACAGTCATCTCACACCAAGGAGGTTGCTGGTTCAAAGCTCAAATGATGTCTTTTTCATTCACAGAGATGGACTTTTAAAACCAATAGAAACATTATACAAAAAGTCGAAAAATCCTGGATTAAAAGCCTTTGTCCTTTCATCACTGTAATATTTTGGAAAGGCTCAATTTTAAATATTTTATTAGGTTTAAAAATAGCTGTTTAATCTACAGAATACTTAATGGACTAGCCACACCTCCACTTTCCACATATGTCAAACTAAGACCAGACAAAGGCTTTAGTACTAGAGCCTCCACTAGAGGAGACATTTACATTCCCTACAGGAAAGCAACGTTTGGACAAACGGCATTGTCAGTCAGAGGGAGTCAATTTTGGAACAATATCCCAGTGAAAATCAGAGTGGGCCACCCATGGCGCCTTCAAAAAGCAACTCAAACCAAACCTTAAAAGCTCCCAGACATGTTTGGACTTTTAGTAACTTGCTTATTTGTTGTTTGTTTATTTTTTGAATGTTTTTTTTATCTGACTGTTTTTCATTTGTACATTGTAACTTGTTTTATTTAGTCATCCTGTTGTAAATTAGCAATTGTGCTATAATCTGGCCCATTTTCGATCGATACAAAGTATGTGATTGTTTATTGAAGTGCACTGTCCCGAATAAATAAATAAATGAAATCAAATGAAATGTTCTCCCCGTGCGTGTGTGGGATAATCCAGTTTCCTCCCACAGTCAAATACGTGCTTGCTAGGCTGGTTGGTGACATTAAACTGTCTTTAGATTGGAGTGCTGTAGTGCGTCCTTGTGTTGGCTCGTTGACTGACTGACCTGTCAACGATAAACCCCACCTCTTCCTTGGATACTGGCCCCGAGTACCCCCCCCCCCCCATCCTGAACACGATTAAGTGAATGAGGATGCTTTAAATCTTTGTCATGATGCATTACTGGTGGAGAGTTCCTTCTTTTGGCCTCAGATTCTTTATTTCACACTGTGACTGTGACTGCAAACATACAGCAGGGTTATAAATAACTGCACTCAGCAAGAAGAAAAACATAGAGCTCCGTAACAGATGGCACGGCCCCCGCTGGGCCCTGATCTCAACATTATGTCCTCCATCTGGGATCACTTGAAGAGACAAAAGACACAGACAGAAAACCACGCAAGAACTCTTCAACTCCTGAAACAACCTCCCTGCTGACTCACATTAAAGGAACTCTAGGGAAATATGGTCAAAAGGAAAGGTTTTAGCACATATATGCATATGAATGCACATTTCCTACACAGATTGGACCTCAGACCCTTTTTATCATGGAAGGCAGATGGATGTGGAACCATCTTTTGTTCTGTTCATTTCAGCTATATGACAGTGGCTTACGGAGCTTTGTTATTGTCGAATCACAGGAGAAACCGGAAGCTGCTGACAAAGGCACAACCTCTGTGGAGTTGTGGAGGAAAATGAGCTGAGGTCGCTGTCAGGTAACTTTGTAATGAATCAAAACCCCTGATTCAGAATTATTTTCGTGGCGTTTTCAACCCTTCGTTCTGGTGCAAAATAGATTCCCTCTGTTTTCAGTAACTGTCATTTGCTTACGTATGCAGAGCAGCTTAAAGATGGGCATGCTGGGAAAAATTCATTCAGATCATTCAGGAATATTTGACCAACTTTTCCAACGTGTGTGATGCAGAAAACAAGCCCGATGAGATGCAAATATTATCATAGCAGGAGCTAATGCAACTCTTACAGATGTGCTGTTGTTTAATTGATTGGGTTGGACCTTGTCAGGGTTAGGGGGACATTAAATGAATGAACCACAGCAGGGGGCTGACTGTTATGGGTCAAAATGTTTTTGTTTCTCTCATTATGACGTCTTTACTTTGGGTAAAACTCTCCCACATAGAATTAAATGGCTTTAAGGACATCTGGGCAGGATTTTAAAGCATTTGCTGTTAACAATTCAAGCACAGTTTTCATATGTCTTTGCAGTTCCACATATTTTTGTTTAATCTCTATAATTATATATTTTTTTAACTCTGGCACCCTTCATTCAGAGCATTTTCTATTATTCATTAGTCGAGTTCCACAGAAGCAGTTTGGATTTCTCACAAACCATAGAAAACAACATTTTAGCTTTCATGAAGCACAAAGAGAAAACATCTAATATTACAAAACACTTTTGTGTCATAATTCCATGCTGTCATTCTTTTTAAAACACAGAAACAGTTTCGTTACCTGTTTTGTCGCCACGTTTCGTCTGCAGACTTCCTCAGGCTGACGCTGATGGTGGCGTCACTTCCTTCTCCGTTTAACGGCGGGCAGCAGAGGACGTTGTCGCCCTCTGCTGCCCGCTCTCCCCTCTCCGACGATGCAGTCCCATGTGCGGTCCAACATGTAAACTCCATCGTCCCTGTTCATGGTCCCACATCCACGTCTCCTTATCTCGATTGCTTCTTTAATTCATCTTTTGTATTTTTGTTGCTCGGTGTTTATGATCCTTGTGTTGTCCCAGTCCATTATATGTTTTTCTCTTATGCAGTGATCTGTTACGGCCCGTTATTAGGAAACACAGATCAACACTGCAAAAACAGCATAGAATTGGCAAAAGAACTGAAGGAGATCACAATAGAAGACAACGATATACTCATCTCACATGACGTCACATCCCTGTTCACAAAAACACCAACCCAAAAGACCATAGACATAGTAGTTAACAGAATCAGACAGGACAAGACTTTACACAAAAGAACAAACCTCACAGCAGATGACATAGCACACCTGATAGGACTGGTAGCTAACTCCACTTACTTCACATACGATGACACAATATACAAACAAGTGGAAGGCTTTGCCATGGGTAACCCGTTATCAGCCACCCTGTGCGAGTTTTTCATGGAAGACCCAGAACAAAAAGCCATAGCCACCGCCCCCCCAAACTGCAAAATAAAACTATGGAAACGCTACGTAGATGACATACTGGAAATCATACCAAAAGGACAAACAGAAACACTAACACAACACTTGAATAGCATTGCCGACACAGGCAGCATAAAGTTCACTTATGAGTCAGAAACAGAAGGCAGTATAGCATTTATGGATATGAAAATAAGTAGGCAGACCGACGGGACCCTAAACATAAACACATACAGGAAACCAACACACACAGACCAATATCTATTATGGACATCAGAACACCCTACCATACACAAAATGTCATTAATCAGAACATTATATCACCGAACAAACATGATAACGAAGAAAGAGACCGTAAACAAGAGGACAAACACATACAACACGCTTTAAAGACCTCCGGATACCCGTCATGGGCAATAAACAAAGGAAAACAACAAACAACAACAGAAAGAAAAGAACAACCTAAGCAAAGAACCAGAAACCCAGAAAGACAAGAACCAAAACCAGTGATAACCCTACCATACATCAAAGGCATAACAGAAAAAATAAGAGGAACAATGAAAAAACACAACATAAACACACCAACAAAACCATACACAGCAGTTAGAAACAGACTAGTGCACCCAAAAGACAAGATACCAGCAGGACTTAAATGTGGAGTCGTTTACGAAATCCCATGCAAACTCTGCAATAAAACATACGTAGGAGAAACTGGACGCCAACTCAACACACGAACAATAGAACATAGAAAGGAGTGTGAGAGAGAAACAAGTCGAAGACACACAAGAGCAGCAAAAGAAGAAGCAGAAAGCACAATAAAGAAGTCAGCCGTAACAGATCACTGCACAAGAGAAAACCATATAATGGACTGGGTCAACACAAGGATCATAAACACCGAACAACAGAAATACAAAAGATGGATAAAAGAAGCTATCGAGATAAGGAGACGTGGATGTGGGACCATGAACAGGGACGATGGAGTTTACTCGTTGGGCCGCGCATGGAACTGCATCGTCGGAGAGGGGAGAGCGGCCAGCAGAGGGCGACAACGTCCTCTGCTGGCCGCTGATAAACGGAGAAGGAAGTGACGCCACCATCAGCGTCAGCCTGAGGAAGTCTGCAGCCGCAGACGAAACATAGCGACAAAACAGGTAACGAAACTGTTTCTGTGTTTTACAAAGAACGACAGCATGGAATTAGAACTACGACACAGCATGAACACACCTGAGATGTTCAAAAACTTTTGTGTCATGGTCTTTGGGTTTATAGCTCCAAGTGTCTAGTATGTAAATAATTAACCTGGGTTTTTAGGAACTGTAAAACAAAGTGAATGTATAAGAATTGTGTTTTGGAAGAATCACTCGTTCGATCTGATAGATGCTTGTTGAACATAAACAGTGGATCAGCTGAGTCTGACCTGTGAGGACATGCCGTGGCAGGGGTAGAGGATGGCTTTGTCATCGTCCTCAGAGCCTTGGTCCAGACAGTAGCCACTGGCCTTGCTGTTTCTCACCTGAACAGGAAGAACGTGAAAAGTTTAACAAATGTGGTACCCAACATGCTGCTCATCCATTCTGTATCAGATCAAAAGAAGAGACTCATCGAATGCAATAATTACTGCAGTTTTCTGGCACATAACTTTAGAGTCACCCTCAGAAAAATGTCTATAAATCTGAATCAATTCAAATTCATTTCAAAGGTACTTTATTAATCCCAGAGGGAAATTAGAATCTGTCTTACCACAGCAAAGTAAATTAATACGATCATGGAAAATCAGCTGTTACATAAGGCGTTTCACATATTTCATATTTATTTACTGTATATGAAAATAATCTAACTAAAATATCCCACATTTTATTTTATTTCTCTTAATTGTCCAAAGCTTACTCCTAACCAGCAAACAGAAATGTCCAGATACTTCCAGACATCAGTTCTTTGTATACATTAGTTTGCTGCAGAGGTGGAATAGTTCCTCAGCTCCTTGAGTCTGCAGCATTCAGTTCCTCGGGGCCTCCTGTAGATCCATGCTGACTCCTCCAAACTGTTTACACAGTATCTTAACTCAGTGTGATGGCAGGAGCAGGATGGGATGTCATTACATGGTGACCAGTCTCCGTTCTGTCTCTTCCTCTTCTCTGAGCCAGATGACGGCGTGCATTTAGCATGAGCTGCAGTTCTGTGTGATTTGAATGTGTACAGCTTTATTTCCAGGTTGTGACACATCTATCATGCGCTGTTGTCAGGGACGGTTCCACTCGGCCGGTCTGGACAGCATGGCTGAGCGGAGCGCCGCGCTGATGCTCAGTGACAGATGAGACTCGCTCCTGCTGCAGCAGCTGTGTGGCAACACAAGGTAACTGCTTCCCAGCTTGTTGACAGATTTGAAATAGCACCACTTGAGTGGATGCCACTCTGAGGAATCCATTAGCTGGATACCAGAGAGGGCGGGAAAACAGGCGACAGAGGAAACAACAGAGTAAATTCACAAAGCTTTGATGAACATAAAAGGTAATTCTGATTTTCTCTGGCATTCAGGGTGCACTGATCTTCCTGTTTTTTCCAGTTTTGAAATTGATGTGAGGAAAAAAAAGGTTACATTTGAGCACGTCTCTGAGTAGTGTCTGGCTCAGGAGTGTTCTCCATCCTTCAGTGTGCCTAAAGCCAGTTTTGTTCCCCCACTGTGCCAAGTGTACAACCAAGCCCAAGGCACTCAAGTAAGAATGGAAAACTAATAAGTGTTTAATTAAAACTCATTAAAAGGAAATCACATCTATTTCTGTGTGATGATGTTGCATTGCTGTAGTACCAAGACAAGCTGCCCTGAACTGGCTACAGTAAAACATTACTCTTGTTTCTTACATCTGAGGAGGTCCGGGTCAGCTTGACCCATGCAGGACCAAACCGTGTCTTTGCTGCTTTGGTCAGTTTGCACTCATTTTGCCACAGAACTATTTGTACCCACTTTTCACCATTTAGTATCCAGTTTTGGATGGAACCCAACTCAGGATCAGCCATAAAGTTTAGAATTTAATCAACAACAACAATTACACTTTCGAAAGGAAGGCAGCATCCACCTTACAACCTACTGAGGCCCACATGTTGTTCATACACTATGATCGGTCCTTTTACATGTTCCCCAATTTACTGTATGACAGTTTATTAATATGCGTGGGGCTGTTGCATCTGAACACACGCAGGTTTAGTTGTACAAAATCACAGTTAGTAATTAATAATGTGATCCATAAAATAAAGAATGGGTCTAAACTGGCGCTGTAGAAATGCATTAACGTAATTATTTAAGGGCACGAGTGTGAACTAACCATTCTACCCAGCTGGTTCAAAAGGTCTAAGTGTGAGACTGATTTCACGTCTTCTGGTACAAAGTGAACATACAGTTTAGGTAGGAATGAAGTGACCGGCTCTTTTAAGGGGGAAGGCATGAGCTTATCAGAGTTATTATCAGACTGTTTACCTGCACATTTTCATGCACATTTTATTAAAATATAGAGGGACAATCAGCTATTGATCCTTTGTGGATGAGTTGCCTTTGACTTTGCATCATCTTTAAACTGTTTAATTCTTTCAGATTATGTGTAACAGAGGTAAAGATCATGTTTACTTTCATTAATCCTGTTAACGGGTGCTTCTCACCTCGCCGTATGTGATGGTGTTGTTGTAGATCCTCATCTCTGGGTAAACGTGCTCAAGGTACCAGCGAAAGCTTTGACACTGCATCCGTTTCCTTAAGGCCAAGCGCTCCGACACGTCCCCGAAATCAACACCTGGGTTCTGTTGGAAAATGGTACAAAACAAAAGCAAAAATAGAAAGGATAAAATAAACTCTGTTTGTGTGGAAGCTTCTGCAAAAATGAAAAATGCAAGAGTGTTGAGGTGCTGAGAGGTCAAATTTAGTAAAGAGACAGGTGCACTGGTCAGGTGGGGCTCATGGTGTCTTCATTAGATGTGATTTTGTACTGAGAAAATTCTAATCAGCTGCTTAATTATGAGCCCTAACGAGCAGTTTGTGTTGTGGCCTGGTGCCACCCCAGAAAGCAGCACTAAAACACATTCAGCGTCTCTGGGATGTTTGGTGTTTGGACTTGGGGGTGGTTGTTGGTGGGTGGGTGGGGCTACCCGCTGTGTTGAATCATAAGCCCTCTCAACGCAAAGGAATTGGACTCTCAGCAGGAACCTCAGACAGTGACAAGAATGTGTGAGTGTGTATGGGTTGGTTGGGAGGAGGTTCGATAGAATAATCGTGGCATTAGCTCTTCGCTGTACACAAAATAACTCTGCTCTGCGGGACAGCTGGGGTAAAAACATGCCATGCCACTGTGTTGGTAATAATCATGGAGGGATGTGGCCTGATTGGCTACTTTGTCACCTGCCACCACCACAGTACACCGACTGCTCCATGCTGAACACACATCTTTCTGCCGTCAGCTCGTTCTGTCTGCACCACCTGAGTCTCTTGTTATTCAGCTTCACTTTCAGACGACAGGAATCAGCAGCAGCCGAATGTTTTTGTTTTGAAGATCAGCGTGATGTTTCAAGCAGCATTTTAAGCTCTGTGTTTCATCTACAATCCTTTCACTCTGCATCGCTCATGGGACAATTACAACGAAGTATTCTATTCTCTATTACCCAAAGCAGATGTTTACTGTTTTGCATCACATCTCTAAAGAGTCTCGAAAGCAATTAGGCTAAACTGAACTGTATGGAAATCTTAATCAGACACAAAGCTCCTTCATTTGGTGCGCCTCACTAGTCTGTATGGCCTTATGCAAGTGTGAAGGTCAAGTGGGATGAATTCTGAATTCTGAATATTTATTGACTTATGTCTCACTCGAGCTGCAAGCATCAATGAGCAAGTGAGATGTGAGGAGAGTGTGTCAAAGGGATTTTAATGACTGAGGCGGGGAATCTTACGTTCATGGGGATGTTCCAGGCCATGTAGACGTGGGATTTGTACTCATCCATCCACACCTCAGCCGCTCTCAGGGCATTGCGTTTGGCATAGTAGTCAATGTCGTTGTTGTATGGTTTCTTGGTGCGCTCAATGTGGGCTACTCGGGCACACGGCAGGACCTCCATGCTCCCGCCACATTGCCACACCTACACAGCACAGAGAAGAGCAACGCTTTAATTAGGCCCGATCAGCAAAGCTGCGAAGGCCTATTGTATCTGCTCTGTTTCTTTTTCTTTTCTTCCGCGACTTCAAATGGCTTTTTGGGAGTCTTAGCATATCCAAAAACTCACCAAATTCTGGCTCAAAATAGAAAGTGCGTGAAATTTACGATCTTCAGAGGCGATGTGAAAGTTGATAAAAAAAGTGGCTCAGCAGCGCCCCCTGGAAAATTAAAAATACCCCTCGCCTTGACCTTTTTCATAATAGAGTGATGAAATTTGGTACACTTGTAGAACCCGCCAATACGCACAGAAAAGTCTCTTGCACCCATGGTCAACATCAAACAGGAGGTCGGTCATTTTGGCCGGAATAGCGTTTTTGACCCCGTTTTGGTCATTTGTAGGGTCTGTATTTGGTTGAACAGTTTGGTCATTTTTCGCACGATCGTCTCAAAAATAGTGTGTGTCAATCAGAAGGGATGGACGATTGAATTGAGAAAATAAAACTAACTTTTCTTAAACTGAAGGGGCGAGGCCAGGCCTCGAAGTTCGAGCACTCGCCAAAAAAATTCAAATGGCTATAATTTCATAAATAAAAGAATTACAGTTAAAAAACTTTTTGTGGACATTCCTCATCGGCCCCCGAAGACAAATGAATAGTCGATTGATGATGTCACACAAGCCCCGCCCCCTCAAGACCAAAAAAAGTCAGGTTTTACTGTCAAATTTCCTAAAATTTGCCATTTCCTATAATCACCACAAACTTGTAGCAGATAACTGAAGACAAGTTGGGGTTGCTTGGCCTCACTTTACGAGAGCTTTCAAAAGACAGCGTGGCGAAGTCAGGCGTAACGCCATGGCCATACGATAATCTCTCATTTAGTCAATTCTAAAGCTATCGCCACTGTCACATCACCAAATGGACTGATTTTGAGATCCCACAGTTCATATGCACGGCCAGAGCAAATAACCCTGGCTACACACGTTCTGCTGTATTTTACCCTGACAGGAGATGGAATGTCTGCACGCAGGCTCTTTAATCAGATGACTTCATCAGCTGAACTGAAGCTTCATCAGATAATAAAGACGAACAGTAGCATTCCTTTCCCCAAGGTTCCTCACAAGAGAACTACTAAAATAAACTTTTATTCCAAGAAGATTTCATAATATAAGTAATCATTTTATATTTCAGAATAGCCCTTGAAGAAAAGAAGATCTTACAAAGAATAATCACTAAATATTGCCATGTATAATTATAAATGATGAAATGTTTCACGAATCTGTTCAGTGATTCTAAGTATGTTTACTGGATTAGACCACTCACACCAGACAAGAAGTAAGGCTAAATTAAGAAGCATTAACCTTGTTTTGCAGACTCAGCGGCTCTGCATCACAGAGTCTGCGTTCTGAGAATTCTTGATTATTTTGGTAATAGATATGAATGAAATCTTTATTTCGAACATTATAATAAAAATAAAAATAACTATTATAACAATAGTAATAACAAAGTCATTGCAGACATTAAAAATAAAATCACACTGATAAACAGCAGGCTATAAAACCAGCTGCTCTGCTTCCACCCTGAGACAAGTTCGAACCTCCAACAGAACGAGGGTTGGAGAGCAAAGCCTTAAGACCGGCTGTTACGTCCCCAACATGTGTTGTTAAAATGTGAAGGAGGGGGTAACATAATAAATGTGACATTGGAGTTTAAAAAGGGTTTTATTTGTAATAAAAGGTTCTAAAAACGAGCAAACAGATGGCACGCATTATAAAAATAATGCAAAAACTAACAACTCTCAAAAACTCTGAAAAAGGTTAACATTACAAGACAAATTATCAACTATAAAAACACCTGGTAAAAACTTTAAGTTTTACCGCAACGAAGGTGTTCTAAAAGCACAACGAAGTTGATAAAAGTCTAAAACAATCTACTGACTAAAACACCTGGTAAAAACTTATATTAAAAGCTCTACCGAACCGAAGGTGTTTAAAACCGAAGTCAATAAAATTGTACCAAACCAAGTTAACCTTTAACACAAACATCAAAAAGATCCCAATGGATCATCCAAAACTCATCACTAAGAATTAAAACTACCCAAGTTTAAAACTCATCACAACGAGAGGGGTTAAACCAAACCGAGACCTGGAGGACAGCAGAACCCATGCACTGCTGCCTCCCAGACTGCTGACGGCACAGCCTTTTTATACAGGTGTTGGTAATCAACAAGATTCGGTTCAGCTGTGCTCCTCAGCAGCCTGGAAGAGAGGAGAAGGAGGGGCGGTGTCAGGCTGATCACCGGGGCTGGGTGATCCTGGCTCCTGAATCCTACTGGCCAGCCTGGTAGCCGTAACACCGGCCATCTTTAACTGAGCTACCAAAGGATTTTGACACACTGTCAAAACCTTAAGCTTTTGCACCTATAGGACAACAAGAGATTTTTTCCTGCAGAACAAAGCTGATTTTGCAACACTCCTTCAGAGTGGTTTTGAGACACTTGGTTTCATCCAGTCCACCTGTGTTACCTGGAGCGATCCTGGACCGACCTGGTCATACTAGAAGTTAGTCTACAGACTTCTGTACCCAGGGTCTCCAACCCCCTGACATCTCGGATCCGCAAGGGCATCTCCACTTGGGTACGTAGAACACAGTGAGACAGCGTCTGTATGCAGTTTGATAAGAACAGCTTACAGCTCAGATGCAAACCAAATTCTTTTATTATCCAGAACTCACCTCTCTCTGAGATGTGGAGACTTTGACTATGAAATACTATATTCACATCTAGTTCTAGACACCCATCTCTTAGTTCGCATCAACTCAGAGTAAATAATAGTTTAAACCATTTGTCAAGGCTTAAAATTGTTTGTAAAATAAATTCTAAATTGTTTGCAAACACTGACTGGTTCTTGAATCAAAGCGAAGTGTGACAATTCCTTAATAATTTAAAGAATCCTAGAACCTTCTAATTAATCATCCTAAGACCAAGCAAGGTGATATTCTCTAATAATAGAGTATTAAAGCTATTGGTCACAAATTAATGAGAATAGAAATAAATAGCTCTTAAGCAATTTATTTAATCCAGTTTACCCCCTATTGACTTCATTACACCACAAAATTTCTGATGAGTGATCCTAGTATGATCCACAATAAAACTTGAAATCAAAAGTCGATAGGCGTGGCCAATTTTTTTAAATAGCACCCCCTAGCACCCTTAAAAGTGCTAGCCCCAAGCCATGCTTTGACTGAGGATTGTGAAATTTTGTACACTTATGTAGTGTCTCAGGACGTACAAAAACACTCTCTTGAAGCCATGCTCAGTATCCCACAGGAAGTAGGCCATTTTGGTCCAAGTATGCCATTTTGTGTTTTTTGCACACTTCAAAGGTACGCCAATCCCCAAGCGACCGTTGCCCCTATTGCCTTCATACTTCTGCTGAAAACTCTTAAGACCAAGCAGGAAAAACTGAACCTACGGATTTTCCAAAAGTCTAACGGTGTGGGCGTGGCTAGGCCTCAAACTTTGATCTGTCACCACACCATGCTTCATTGTCAAAGCTCCCAAATTGACTCCTTTAACCTAATCAACATGAATCTGGCAAATAGCAGTAGACATGTTGGGGTCACTTCGTGTCCATTACTGGCAGGTTTCAAAAAAGGGTGAGGCTTTGGGGGCATGGCGAATTTTGACATCACGCCATGGAATTACGTTTGCCTCTCATTTCCACAGTTCTGATGTTATCGGTCCAACAATTCAGGTGATTGATACAAATCCAAACCTCAATAAATATTACCCTGAAAATCTGGTGGGTGTAGCTTAGTTTCTTCACTAGCGTCCCCTAGGTCCAATAAAAATGTTAGCCCCAAGTCATGCTTTGACTGTGGATTGTGAAATTTTGCACACTTATGTAGTGTGCCTGGGCCTACAAAGAAGTCTCATGGAGCCATGCTCCATATCCCACAGGAAGTCGGCCATTTTGTTCCAATTACGTTACAGAGTTTCTTTCGAAGCTGGAATATTTTGCTAATGTAAAACATTTTTAGTGGGGACTGTTGGCAGGCTAGGAGGAAAGGTTGAGTCAGTTTGAGGTGACAGCTCACAGTGATCGCAGTTAAATGCACGCTGGGGTGTCTGGCGCGCATGGACACTCGTGCGCCATCGGTTGCAGGGCGATGGGTTGGGAGAGCGTCGGGGATGGAGTGGAGGGGGTGCGGACGGATGGCGAGCAGCTTCGCTGCGAGGGCCAAACGACGCTGCTTGCAGCTTTAATTAAATTTGGCTTTGCAAAGAAATTGATTCACTATGCCTTTTAAAAACACACAGGAAAAGAAAATGTCAGCAGGATTAGAGATGATTCCAAATATAATTAAGAAAAATCTTAAAACAATAAAACAAGCTAATCATTACTTTGAAGAATGCTGAAGTTCAACAGTCAAAACCAGCTGTATTAATTGAAAATAGAAACCACCACAGAGAGTAGAAGTGAACAAACATCTGTAGGTTATTAAGCTGATCCAAGGTTAGACCCACTCTGGAGCAAAAGCTGCTTTTTCATCTGATTTGCTCCATAAGGAAGCACCTTTCCATTTCTGACTTTCTATGTTTTAAATAATCATGATAAATGATAAATGACCTGCACTTTTATAGCTCCTTTCAAAGTCAGAGGACTCCAAAGCTCTTTACACTACAGTGTAACATTCATCCATTCACACACTGATGGTGATGAGCTACAGTGTAGCCACAGCTTTCCTGGGGCCCACTGACCGAGGCGAGGCTGCTGAGCACAGGCGACACCAGTACCTTTGACCACCAGTAGCATCATCACTTCCTGTGATGGATTGGTGACCTGTCTATGCTGTCATTAACTCTGGTTCAGTGATGGAGCCCACAGATCCCTAAACAGGAGCTGAAAAAAGCTGGAATAATGTTTCATCGGCAGAATTAGTTACTGAGGTGTCCCACACACAAGGACAGAGTTTAGTGAATATG